TTTTTCAGAAGAGCAGGCGTTGGTTCTCTCTGGTCACTACTGGTGGGTAAAGGCAAAGTACTGGTGTTTGGAAGAGATGATCCGGACTTAGATTGAGATGGTCGATTATTTTCTCTCTGAACTTGTGTCTTTTGACGGCTATTTACCTTCTTTTCCAGGATAAAATGCAGGAATTAAAACCTGATTAAATTTAAAAATTGACCTACAAGATTACTGCAGAGAAACTAGGTGGATATTTTTGACCCTTAGAGTACGCTGCTAGATTGCTTTATAATTAGCATAAATAAAGTTAGACCAAGAAGCGAAACTGAAGGAAGAAGCAAAACTAATTAAAGATAATCAGTGAAAGAATATCATGGGTGAGAAGATTTTAGAACAGTGGTGCCCAATTCATCCAGTCCCATGGGCCCAATCCAGTGCCTCACAGGTCCTGAAATTTGGTGGCAAAATGAGTGGCAACAGTATTGATTTCTGCAGCTCCAGGAGCCAAAGCAATTAACGATGACACTGCTTACCTGATGCCAAATTTCCAGACCCATAGGGAGCCCTGCACACCTGGATGATACAGCTCCCGTTGTCACCTCTGCTTTAGAATGTAGGTGAAAGGTTGGCTACACTAGGTAGGTCAGTTTGGAGTCCTCTAGAGCTAGCTTTGTGTTTTCATGTCAAATAGATTTAGTCTTATGGCACAGGTATTTTTATACTGGTAACAGAAATAGGCATATATCCTGGGTGACAAAATAAGGTACATCTGATTACTATATTAGAATAACTGCATATTAATGATTAGATGACTTTTCAAGCACATCCACGTATTTGCTAGCTTATCTGAGATCTTTATTTAGCAAGCTTTTTAAGTCTGGCAAGATAATTAGAGAGAAAGAACTATATCCATTTCAGAATCTTTGCTCTTCAGCCTTAAACTCCTGTCATTGTTGAACTGCCCATCTGTGAATGAACCAAAATCAGCACTTCTTTTAAACCTAGGTAAGAAATTATTTGCCCTGATACGTCAGTCACCCCCTAGTGATTTCTGAAACTTTAGAACTTAATAGATTTAAGATCAATTTTTGTTTTAAGTAGGTTGTGCATATATTGACAACCTTTTACAGAAGTGGGACATTGGCTGTCAAAGTTCCTCTGCTTTACCTGTGTTAGATCTTGTGTTAGGGTTAACAGCAGTTTTAGGAAGAGTTTAGGTATGATCCTGCCTCATGACCTATGGAGGTCCCTTCTAGCCCCTACTTCCTTGATTTCTATGGTTTCTATTGAGGATTCTTTTATTTAGGTTTATGATCCCTATATATAATTAAAACATATTCTTGCTACGCACACTTTGCTGGATGTTAACATTTACATATTAAAACTGTCATTCATAGATTCATAGATTCATAGATTCATAGATTAAGGGTCGGAATTCAAATTTGGCTGATTTAAAACTTGAACGTTTTGTGATCCTTAGAATACATTTGCAAGTCAAAATACATAAAAGCCCATGCAGTCCTACGTGCAATGAATTCTAATTTTGTAGGACAGGAAAAAAAAAAATTGAAAACGTATCATATTCAAAACTAGTAGAATTTAATTTCTATAGGGGAAATAAAGTGAAATGTAGCTATAACTGGAGTTGAGGAAAAGGAATTTCTGGGTGAATGGGAACAAAGTACAGTTTCGGTCAGAACTGAATGAAGGAAAAACAGAAACTAGAGACTGAAAGAACGTGCCGGCTTTCTTTTCCCTCACCCAAAATGCTCTCACAAAGTTGTTTGTTACCATCACTTTCCATGGCTTTATCTAATCTAGACTTTGAATGGCCAAAATTATGCATTTTCATCCTTTGAGTAGCACTCTAGACTTTACTTCCCCCCTCCCCCTCCATGGAGTTTTCATATAACAGCTAGATTCCTCATTAGCCACCTCCATCTCTCATATTTACAGCTGGCTCTCCCTCCCTCTCATCAGAGTTGTCTCTTCCCTTACACACTGTGACATCAGCATGGAAATTAATCACATTAGCCCCTTAGTTGCCAAACTTCTCACCTTTCTTCCATGTCATTTTCCAGCAAAAGATCTTTTCCAACTCACATGACTGGCTGCTCATTTGATCTCATCTTCAAGCACTGCTCCTTTTGACAATTTTATTCCGCCTCACTCACCACTACCTCCCACGCCTCATTTTGGCTATTCCTGACTATCGATTCATAAGCACCTGCATTCTCTGCCACTGCTGCCCCAGCTCTCAATCTTCACCCAGTCTCCTCAGCCATTCACTCCTTGACTCCACTTAGTACTCCAGTACCCATCTCTCCTACAATCAAGATTTTCACAGTGGCATTTCTCTGCTGTGTGTCCATATGCTCAGCACCTTGAATCTTACAGCCAGACAGATTTCTGACACTCAGGGAGTGTCCCAACAATTGTGCATGTGTAGTCTGTAGCACTTCAAACCCATTTGAGGCATTGCAAACTGCACACAGTGCATGTGTACCTGTTTGCCATACTGCAAACCTGCAGCAGGGCAGCAAAATTTGACACTGGGATATCCCAGCACCAAAAAAAAGCCACATAAAAAAAGCAGTGCAGCACACGCTCCAGGAGCATGAGCCAGAGCAACTGGAGGCCGAGTCCTCCACAGAGATACAATGGCTGCCAGTCAAAGCATCTCTGGCTGCTGTGCTCCCCTGCTGCTCCAGCATGCTGGAGGAAATAAGAGTGGAGCAGGACTCCCACTAGCTTGCTTGAGCCTGCCTGGCACCCAGGGCCTGTCCTGGGCCCAGACAGACACCCAGGGCCAGCCAGACTGCCTTGCAACTGGGCATGGAGGCCAGCTGTGCCCATGCCCTGGAGACTGACCCACCCAGGCCTCAGCTGAAGGCCACCCACAGCAGCAGGAGGCTCTGGATGCCACAGCAGGGACCAGGGGTGACAACAGTAAGGCAGGTGGGGGAACCCACCTAGAGAAGCCTGCCCAGGTCCAGCACCGGGGACTCAGCTGGAGGCCAAATGAGGTGGCTGACCTCCTGGCCATTTGGAGCCAGGACACACAGCAGCAGTTCACTGTGGGACAGTTCAACAAGCACATATACCAGGTCCTTACACCCTTGGCCTTCTTGCTCCACAGATTTTTCCTTCCCACTGGGAATCTTGGTTTCCAGTTATTTCCCTCAAAATCTATTAACATGGAACAGTGTGAGGAGAAAGGACCACGTTTACATGTAAAAGTAGGGATGAATAGAATGCTTCGTTGAAAGGCACATGGGAGAAGGAGAAAGGCAGGGTGAGATGCTCGTCTGAAAGGCTGGCAAACATTAGGAAAAGTAGTGTTATGGAAAAAAGAATAACAGAAGGCACCTCATACAACTTATTCCGATACTCTGCCACGGAGAGCTGGATATCATCATCTAAAGGAAGAATCACATCATAGTCCAGGGAGGGCTCCTTAGCAGGGCAGTGAAACCTAATAAAAAAGATTCAAATATCGTGTGATCCCTCAGAGTGATAAAAGCACATGCAGGGAATGGCGAAGTGTATATACTGTAAAAGGGGAGGGGGGCAGGGAAACTGCTACTCGGGAACACGCAGCAACATTATGCAGTAAAAGTTACGTCTGTATATTCCTGTAGTAACACAAGGGAGCTAAATCACCCTCTCCCGGATGCTAGATAAAGCAAGGTTAAAATAGGTTTTCTTATACTTGTTTCACTACAGAATCCTACAGACACAGCAGTTGTAACATAACAACATTGTACTGGAGTCCCTGGCTTGTTACTTCTGTCTATACCCACATACCAGTGGTTCTCAACCTTTTCAGTCAGGGCATCACCTGTTTAGCTCAAGGCACTTCTCTTAGGCTCAAGGTACACCCTCAGGAAATGCAACTCTTACTTTTCTTTTTGACTACAGAAAATTAATAAAACAGTTCTCACCAGCAAAGAGCTGAGAAAGACCACAACAGGGCAGAATGTTTTCACTGTGGATTCTTTTTGAAGTCTCTGGGTTTATCTTGTGAATCATGTTTGCCCATTTAACAGTGTTAACACTGAATGGCACCCTAATGCACCCTTGAAAGAATCAAGGCAACCCAAGGTGGGTATGGCACTCTGGTTGAGAATCACTGGGCTAGAGGAATCATTAGAGAAGCCAGTTTAACTTCCTGCCAGAAAGTTTTCAGATTAAGACTACCTTAGAGGTGGAGAACCTACTGCTTCCCGTGGCAATTTGTTCAAGTGGTTAATTATTTTTCTCCTTTTTACAGTGAGGAGGATTAAGCCATACTTTCTATTTCAACTGGGGTGGCTTCAGTTGTCTTCTTACACCTTTCTCCAGGAGATTAAACACTTTCCCTTTTCAAGTCATTTCTTGAACTTTTTGCTGACTGGAACAGTCCAAGACATTTATAGAACCTACTCTTAAGATATTTTATCCATCCTTTATGAAGCCTCAAATACATAGTTTTTGGAGCTCTTCTCTGCCCCAATTCTAATATAATAAGAATATATTCTTTTTATATGCTGGGAGCACCAAAACACAGGAGGGGCATGGCACATGGCCACAGGGTGCCACCTGGAGAGTGGGCATGAGGGGTGCACCCTGTCTCACAGCCATGTGCTACAGCCAGTGGGCTCTACCTGCGTTCCCCTGCCTGCTACCCTCAGGGCTGCCTGTGGCCATGCACCTGCCCCTCTGCACCAGCCCCTCCCCCCCACCAGCCAGTGGGGGGGGGGGGG